ACCACAGGAACATGTTTTTATACCATAAGTCATAATGGGTGTTTTCAGTTGGCTCTTCTGCTAGGTCTAGTGCTCGGGAGTTCTTATAATTAGACTCAGCCTGCTGGGGAGAAGGGCCTGCTCACTCTTCCCAGAGGAACTATGAAGATGCAGCAGTGAGATGAAAACACCTCAGGGACCCGTGTGGCCCCCTCCTGCTATCTGGGCTGTAGGGTGCTCTATAGCCTGGAGCGTTCCAGCTGGCCTCTGCACTGGCTGGCTGATGGGTACCTGTTAGGTAACCTGTGGTCTCGACTGAACATGAGCAGAGACCGTGCTGTCCCAGCATGCCTTGTACAGGACTGAGTCTCAGGATGAAGGACAGGGGTCGTATTTGAGATGTTGTGGAGCACAGAGTGGGCGTTTTTTTTCATTTTCTGTGTATATTTTATCGTTTACAGCATGGAATCTGAATGATTGATTTAGGCAGAATGGAGAAGGTGATGTTGATGATTAACAGGCACATGCTGGCACCAGGGTGTAGAGGGACCTTCTGGATGCACCGTCGACACCACAGGCACTACTAAGTGGAAGCTGCCTAGCCCCTTGGTGGCATCCGCTGTCCCTCTGATTCATTCATTTGCTACACTGTTTGGGATGGGTGGCCTTCCTGCCCAATCTCATCCTCCTTATACTTGCCAGATTCTAAGATTACAATTAGGGTGAAGAATCACAGCTACCCTTATTTTAGTGTTTGTTTTAACCAAGCATTTTGAAGTCAGGAAAGCTTGCTAGCATGCCTGTAGGAACACTGTTCTCAAGACCAGGGATGAGTGGACTGTGGCCTCCCAGTGCAAGTCAACGTCTCCTTGCAAGCCCCAGCCGAGACAGTCTGCCCAGGTGTGATGTGGCTTCAGCAAACGCATCCAGCAACAGTGTTGTGGGTTTCCCAGTATCCTCTTAGTCAGTTTGTTTAAAATGGTTCATTTTCATTCTTATTTATGGTCTTTGAGTCTGTCAGGTGTGAGGAGAGGCAGGCATGCACTGGCAGGTTGTACACCCAGCAGTGTGACCTGCCCTCAGTGCCTACGGTCCAGAAGCAGCTGGCTCCACTCATTGGCCTCCTGGCTCTGGCCTCTCGATTCTCAGCCTAAGCACCATGCAGCTGAACTCTGGAGTCTGTGCACCCAGACCTCATTTTCTATGAATGTTTTTCTTTCTTCAGCTATGTCGTGAGCTCCTATGGTGTGGGGACCTTGGGTTCTTTGTTTCTGTTACCTGTTAACACTGGCTGTGCTTTGAGGGCAGCTGGAATCTTCTTGTATTTAGCAGTGAACATGCTCTGGCCTCCTGGAACTCACCAGCCAGGCCTCACTTGCTCTGTGTCCCATGGAGAGGTGCTCTGGGGCTGAAAGCCAGTGGCCTCTACAGCCTGCAAGCCCCCTCAGGCTGCACAGCCCTCCCCTGGCAGTGCCAAGGTGCAGGCCCCTCCTGAGACCAAGGTGCAGGTCTCAGGAGGTGGCAGAGACAACAGTACTACAGGGTTCGGTGGGCGCTGGCTGATGTCCCTGTGCACCTAGGGCTCTTCTAAGTCACATGCATTTTGACTTATTAAAAGGACACTGGATTCAACTTTCAGATCTCTTTACTTGGGTGAGTTGCCCACCCTCTGTGCCCTAGTTTCCCCTTCTGGAAGGCAGTCCTTGTGGACCTAACGGGGTCCTGCCCTAGCATGGCCCTTTTATTCAGACCTTTATTTAATAAGAACTCAGTGTCCATATGCTGCTCTTGAGTGGAAGTAAGAATGTTTCTCTCATTCTTTCAAATCACGGCTGAGGCTTGGGAACTCCTCCCAGCAGATGTGTGCTGCCTGTGGGTGCAGCATCAGAGCTTGTCCTGTGGCCACAGCCAGTGAGGGCCAGGCCTGGACTCGAGTGCAAGTCAGGTGGAATAGCTGAGGCTGGCCTCTAGTGTGTTCCTCCTGCTTCAGCCTCACAAGTTGTATCAGCGTACCTGGCAGCATCAGCTATTCCCCATAGTCAAACTGCATGGCAAGTGTACAGTAAATGGATATATTTTTACCTATTCAACTGCCACAAAAGAGATAACTGATAGCAAATAACGAGTTTGCTTCGAACCCAGGAAGCAGTAGGAGAAGGGTAGCCAGCAGGCAGCGTGCTCCCGCTCCAGCTGTGCTTCTTGCCGCTCTCAGCCCTCAGTTTACTGGGTTGTCAATTGGGGTGCTGGAGTGAGCATCTTAAAAATCACGTGTTTCTCCCCCCTAAATAACACCTGCTAAGATATTCAGGAGTCTTGGCGCATATCAATCCAGCAGTGTGTGCTAATTATTATCCCACTGCAGGAAGGACAGTGGGTGGCATGCAGATCTGTGTGAGCCCTGACAGAAGCAGGCCTGGGATGTGGCTTAGTGGCAGTATTTACCTAACATGCACAAGGCCCTGAGTTCCTCCATCCCCAACATCACAAGACAGAAAGCGTTGTTGAAGGAGTTTCCCTCTCCTTGCAAAATGATGAACGTTCTTGGGAATGACAGGAGGAGTGGAATTGAAAACTTGTGGGTGGGAAAGACTAGCCGTGGTGCCTCGTACCAGGTGAAGCCTGTTGTGCCTCCAAGTGCAGGCTAGTGGACATCCCCTCATCTGGGGCCAGGAAGGATGCTAATGAGGCCAGTGATGCTCACTGGATGCAGGGTGGAGGGGCATGCACTCTTCCACCTGTGTTTGCATGGACAGGGGTCGCAGGTATGGGGATCATTGCCAGGTCAGATGGGAGCCTGGCCTGACACAGAGGAGGCCCTTTGCCCCTATGGATCCCCTTTGCCCCTATGGATTCCCTTACCCAGGAGGAGAGCTGAGGTGCTGAGCTTGATTATCAGAGAACCCAAGGCTCACCCCAAATACCCAGCACTGCCTGAGAGGAAGCTGAGGAGGTTCAAACCAGAGGCCCCCCAGCTCTGCCCCAGCCAGCTGCAGGGAGTTCCTCAAACTCAGCCTTTCTGGTCTTGGATTCTTCCCCTGCAAGGGGCCTCCAACAAGCACCCAATCAAATCTCCTCACTGTGCCTGGGAGCAGGGGCAGAGACCTCTGGGAACTGGGAGCCTTCCCCAGGTCACACTGGTGACTGGTGACCCCAACTTTTCTGCTGAGCCCTGGGCTTTCCATTCCCTAAACCGACTGCTGCCTCGTGCTATGCAGAGAGCCTTCCCCGGGGACTCGGAGCCACTTGGCTCAGACCTCTGCTTCTCTGCGGCCTTCGCCACACACCCTCTGTTGGGCTTTGTGGGACTTTCACGGACTTTTGTAGCTTTTCCCAGTTTGGGAGCATAGCAAACACGATGGCACTGTGGTCTTTTGTACCTTAAATGTCTGTGGCATCCCCTTAGAGCTAGCTAGAAAGGAGTGTTCTCACAGAGATCAACACACCAAGATGTCAAGGGAGGAAGCCGAGCCGGCCAGCTGCTGTGCACAGCCCAAGGGAGAACATCGCTCTAACACACTTTCCTCTCCCTCCTGGTGTCTCTGCGAGGACCATCTCAGGTTCAAACATCCCCCTCAGGGCCCTCATGAAATAGTTATGGTCCTCTGACTAAATACTTTCTTTTTTTGGCTACATCCTTTATTTATTTAAACCCTTGGTTAAACCCAGCAGTGCTTTACCACTGAGCCACATTCCCAGTCCTTTTTAGTTTTTGAGACAGGGTCACTAAGCTGCTTAGGGCCCCACTAACTTTCTGGTGCCTTCCTTGAACTTGCAACCCTCCAGAGCCGCTGGGATTACAGGCTTACACTACTATTCCTGGCTTCTAGACTGTGTCTTTAAAAAATAGAGAATTGAGAAGCTAGCTAGATCTTCTCCTCTTCCTTCCCATGCATTCCTGCCGCAGCAGTCTTTAGAGAGGTATGGGAACAATGACCTGAATAGGGGACTCAGAACATGCCTTTTCCTTGCCTAGCTTCATGGAGATAGTTCACTTTGAATAGGCAGAAATAATCGTGTACTTTCAGCAGGGTGTCTGGCTAACCCCCAACATATAATAATTTTTCGTTGTTCATATTTTTTACAAATTGAAGTTTCAAATTAGAATTACGAAAGAAAACCATTATTATAAATGTTATTATACCTAACATGACAACAGATTCAACTTGAGAACATGATGTGAAACTGTTTGTAGATAAAGCGTAGCCTAAGAAATAAAAGTTCTGTCTACCCTAAGTGCATCCATCATTTAACCCACTTTGTCCCATGAGCCCTGATGGCGAACATGTATAAAAATTCAAACAGCAAATATACCACTTTCGGTGGCTTTGAAACAATTACTGTTTGCAGACCTGGAAACCTGGGACTTCATGGGTTAAAGTCTTTATTCTAATTTAGAAGAGTGAAAGCTCTCTTGCCTTTTCTCTCCTCCCTGGGTGCCAAGTTGCCCAACAGTCAGAGGGGAGCATGGCTGAACCAGTGCCTGTGGCCAGGTGCGGCGGCTTCCCGGCCTTCCTGCCTGTTCAGACACGCTGTCTCAAGGCATCAGAATGAAGTCTGCCCTGTTCTTTGTGGCAGAGTGAAGACTGAGATTCTTTCTATTGAAATGAAGCAACTGGGACAAAAAAGAATCCTTTTTTCTTCCTTTGATCTCTTTTAAAGAAATATGGATAAAAGATTAGGAGGCAGACCTAAGTTGGGGTCCTGAGGATCAATCATGAGTGGCCTTGGATTTTGCTCTTCTAATGAAGCCAGGGTGGAAAGTGATCCACTGGATGGATGTGCAACCAAGAGGAGCGCCCAACAGGGGTAGCAGGCGGCTGGGCTCTGCCTGGGGGACGGGAGGCTGAAGCAGGGGTCCCTCCAGGGCGTGTGCCCTCCTAGGGGCCAGGATATGATACAACCTGCATCTGATTTCTGCTTTTCCCTCAAACCTCAGATTGAAGGAGAAGTATAATTACAGTCTTCATCAGCACTGCGTCCCATCCACTGCGGTTTTTAAGAGAATTGAGAGGCTTTCTTACCTTTCAATGTGGGGTCGCTGTCCATTCACCTGTCCAGTGCCTTCCAGCTGTGGCGAGCTCCCCTCCCCTGATGAGGAGTCAGGTGGGGTTAAGGCTGGCAGCGAGGTGGGCTTTCTGGTGGGGTGCAGCAGGCAAGCATCTTCTCCCTTGCCAGGGAGGGTTGGGTGCTCCCTGCCCCTCTGAGGCCGCCCTCGGCGGCACCCTTTCAAACGCGCCTGCCCAGGAACAACTGGAGAGACCTGCTCTCGATAATGTGCATGACTCACCTTGAGGAGTAGGTGAGGTTTGTAGACAGTGGAGAGCTTCCTGAACCTGCAGCAATCAGACGGTGACTCACCTGAGCAGCAGAGGCTGCAACCTGAGCATCAGGAGTGGGCTTAAGGGGTGGGTGGCAGCACTCCGGCTCGGCCTGCTCGCCAGCCCCGGCTTCAGGCCAGGTGGATTTGTTCTGTCTTGTTTTCTTTCTTTCTTTCTTTCTTTCTTTGGGGTGTGTGTGGGGGTTCTATTAGAAAATAGTATTTGTAGCCTCCTGGCTAGGTTAATTCTGGATTTACAAAGGAACAAAAAATATATTTCATGAGAGAAATTCTTTACAATATTATTACACACATTATTTAGAGAGTAAAATTGAAACGCATTTATAGTAAGTAGCGGTTAATAACTTTTGGAATCCAGTAATGGTATTCTAGAATCTGAGGAAATTTGTAGATTATTTTCACACATATACAAATATAACTATCCAAAGTATTCTAAAATAAAGGTAACCTAAAGACTGGTTCACTGAATCCCATGAATGTTATTCTTCAAAATGAAAAAAATAATTTGTTTTATTCTTTCTGAAAAGCACATCACAGTGATAAATTTATATAATATACTTTTAAAAAATTTAATTAATTTTAGAACTTTCAAAAAAATCTCAAGTTCTGGGATTTGTTTGAATGCAACATTTTAAATAAGTTAATTTAACCAAATGGAATCAATACTTATGACTATTTGTTATAAATGAAGAGAAATTAAAAGCAAATGTCAGGTGAAAACATTTTTCATGTCAGTTCATCTGTAATACATATTAATGTGTGCTTATGACTTAAGAAAATAATAAATATATATTTATTATAATAAATAATAAAATAGTTGGTTCTCCTTCTATGTACAGAAAAGCAAATATGTCCAGTTGCCAGTATTGGGGTATCAAAATTATATTCCTTCAGTTGCCTTTTCCTAAACACACAAATGCAGAAAACTACAAGGTTAGTATTTTTCCATTCTGAGTGGGGTGGGGTTTGTGTGTCATGACCTAGCGAAGGCCTCCGAATGGAAGTTGTCCTAATCTTGTGAGCATGTCCTGGGGTAACCTGCAATTTTTTGCTGGGGCTGAGGCTGTCTGCACAGCTCTGTATTTTGCCTGGAGCATGTGCAGCCTGTCCATGCCGTTGAGCAGCAGAGTCATGCCCTGCAGACTTTCTTTTGAATTGAACTTTTTCTTTTTATCATGGTGCATAAAGAATGAATGATCTGGGCTGGGCTGTAGCTCATTGGTAGAGCTCCTGCCTCGCACGTGTGAGACGCTGGGTTCGACCCTCAGCACCACGTAAAAATAAATAAAGATATTGTGTCCAACAAAAACAAAAAAAAAAAAAAAAAAAATTAAAAAAAAGAGAGAATGAATGATCTGCTGCTCTTTGTTCAGTAGCTTGATGGCAGAACAACTGCCAAGTCTTAAGAGCATCAATTCAAAGGGAGACATCCTGCAACCTTTCCAAGCATGCTGAGCAAAGGTCTACATGTTCTTAAGACTGCCAGTCACATTCCCAGGAGAGATGGCATAGTAGGGACCTTCCTAAGATGTTATTCAACAGACTTCCCTTACATGAATATAGCCAGTTCTGCTCTGTTATGAACTTCAAACTTTAATACCTGGGTTGACTTTCTTACTTGGGTCAGTGATCTTTTTTTTTTTTTTTTAAACTTTAAGGAGAATGCCCCCCCCCCACTGATGGCTTTGATTTTTTTCCTTAATTATAAATTTGAAAGGAAAATGTTTTGGTAACTCAATATTTTATCACCTGGATTTAAGTGGCCTTTTAAAAAAGGTGAAGTGCAAGAGAGTTGGGATGGGCCCTTCCCACCCTGCAGGCTTCTCCAGGTCCTTGGGTGTGTGTCTAGGTCCTTGGGTGTGTGTCCAGGCTCCTGGCTGTGTGTGGTGGCTGCTGTGTTAGGCCTGGGGCAGAGCAGGCCTCCCCTCCTCACTAGCCAGTGGCCAGGTGAGCCCTGTCTGGGGACAGTAGCTGTGTCCACCTCCGGCTGGCGGTGCGCACCAAGTCTGGTAATGTCCAAGTTCACCTGAGTCAGCCTCAGCACAACAGTCTCCCTGTGATGCCTTATGCCAGTCTCAAGCTAGGACGAGTTGCAGCTGGTCTTACCTGACATTTGAAAAGGGAAATCCTTCACATTTAGTCACGAAAGAAGTGCAGGCCTTGAGAACAGTGGCCAGCAACCAGCCCATAACTTTGTAAGTGTTCACATCATCCAAAGGTAAACCAGCAGAGTTTTTATTTCTGCTGATTTTTATAGCAAGTCTCACATTTCATAAAAGCCCTTGGAGATTTTATAGTAATAATTGCCTTGCTGCTTCGCTGGAAGATCTTGGTAAATGCAGGGTGGCATTTTAGTAATGTTGTTTAGCCCGTACAAATCTCAAATTTATTTTGAATACAAGACATCCTTTGTGTCTATGTGTGCATTTCTGCCACCATAATGCTTAGATTTTTTAAAAAAATTCCTTTTTGTTTCAGCTGAGAGTGGTGTTATTTCCTCTTGGAATTATTTTTAAAGCTGTTAAACCCACACATCAGGTGAAGGAGTGGTTCAGTCAGATTTACCAGTTGCTGCCGTTTTTCACACATTCCTCACCCCACCCACACTCATACATAAATTTTTTGGGGGAAATGTGTTTTAAGGTGCATCATTTTAACATGGATCAAACTTAACTTTAGCATGTATTTCCAAAAAAGCAATATGTATTTGCTTACTTTATCACAATAGTATTATAAGTCCAGATAATAATGTTGAGATAATGAATAAAGACATACTCCCATGTGAAAATTTTGATAATTTTTAATGTTATGTTTTAGCCTTTTTTTTTTTTTTGAAGTGCAATTCAGTCATCACATGTTACATTTGGTTTGATGCTGTATAGACTCTTTAATTCTTTAGGTTAATTCCTCTACTTTTTTATTTTTACTTTCCCATTAATCCTTCAGAACTTTAAAAAATTTTTTTCCCTTTTTGTGGTACTGGAGATTAAACCCAGGGGAGCTCTATAGTGGGCACCCCCAAACTACATCTCACTAAGTTGCCTAGGACCTCACCAAATTGCTGAGTCTGACCTTGAACTTTGAATCCTGCCTTAGTCTCCTGAGTCACTGGGATTACCCTGTGGTCCACTATGCTTGGCTCCTCTTGGCTTTTGAAATCTGTGTCTGCCAAGTCCATCCAGGGGGATGTGCAGCAGGAGGGGCTTCAAGACTCTGGGTCCTTAGACATGTCAAGCTGTCCACATCAGGATTTAGGATTTGACATGGGAAGGGAATGTCTATAAGCCTTTTAAGTCTTTAAGCCTGGTTCTTAGATTACTAGAATAAAATTCTATTTGTTTTTAATACTGGGTGGCTCATTCAACTTTTCTTGGGTTCAGTGTCTATTAAATGACCTACTTTGAACCTAGATATTTGGATGAGAATTCTCAAAACCTCACAGACTTCTCAAAACATAGTCTTCAAGAGACAGAGGTGCCAAGGGGGAGAGGTGTTTCTCACATGTCCCACAGAATTGGAATTGGCTGAGGGGACAGATGGGCTTCTCAGCCCTGAAGTGAGCTCTTCGCTTCTGCCCCTCCCTGTGGCTGTAAGTCATTGGGCAGCTGTCCTTGGGCTGCTTGGCCTCCGGGAGGCTCCTCCATGGCCTTTCTCTCCTCCCTTCTTTACTTGGCATTGGTGTGAACTGGGGACAGTGTCCCCTCCAGTGCCTAGCATTTGTGTTGTGACCTCATTGTTCTCTGTCACTATAATCTCAGACATAGCCATTTCTTCAAGGAAATGCTCATGAAGGCTGTCGAAGACCTTGATAGCACAGTAACTCATTATTACCAAAGACGAGAGGGTTGTCACTGAAACCTAGCTCTAGGGATTTCTCTTGAATCCCATGCCTTTCCCACATAGCCTGAGCCTACAACAAGGACTGCAGTGAAATCTTCACCAGGTCCTACTGGTCCATCTCTGCGCACAAAGCCATTCTAATCATGACTCACACCCAGGGTACCATGTGTAATTTTCACAAACCCTTTAATATGCCTTTGAAGAGATCGCTATCTTTGGTCCCTGTGGCTTGAATTACTATGTTTAATCTGTCACCTGGAATGATTTGCATCTGTCAGGTTGGCTTCAAATAAGGTACTTGCCTCTTCTGGCTTGAGAACTCTATACAGAATAGTGGACGAAAGGGGCGGATGAACTGGACCTGAGTCTGAGCTGGCCTGCATCTGGCCCCTGCCCCGTGGTGATACTCCCTCTGAGGCTGGCCACTTCATCCAGCTCCAGCTGTGGGCAGGTTGCTCATGAGAGGCCGTGTTAGGCTGCGGCAGGACTAGACCAGGCCAGGTGGACTCCAGAGTGCAGGGATGAGTAGCCATTCACTGTGGGCAAAGCCAGCAGGAAGCTGATCCCTGTCCAGCAGGGAGCCTGGGGAGGCCTCATGGGGGAGGGAACCTCAAGGGAGCCTGCACAGGGGCCATTGCCTGGAGCTTGGTGGGTACCTAGGGAGCCCGCAGTGCTTTCTTGTTGAAAGGCTAAGAGAGAGTGAAGGGGTTAACTGACGGGCAGAATCTGTGTGCACAGTGAGGTCAGAACGCTTAGAAGCTGAGCGCCCACCTCAGCTCAGGGCTTATGGTGTTTCCCCGGTACTTGCCTTGAGAACGTTCCTAGGTTCCCTTTAGTGATAAAATGAATAGTCCTTGAAATACTTTCTGTGATCTGTACTGACAGTTTTCTCTTCCACTGAGGAGGAAATCCACCCCCACTCTGGAATAGTGGGAGGGTAAGGCCGAGTCTGGGACCCATGGGAGCAGGGTGTGTTGCTCACAGTGCAGGCATTCCTGGTTTGAAGAAATACAGTTGCACAGCAACGGTAAAGATAAAAATATTAATCGAAGATAAATTTAATACATTCCGCTGATATTTTTTTTAAAAACAAAGCCCT